TGGTGATTTTATCTGCAAAATAAGTGACCATGGGCCCCAAGAAAGCTTCTAGTGCCAACCCTGTGGTAAAAAGGGTGAGAAATATTATCGAAATACTGTGGTACCATGGTCAACTGCTGATGCTGCTGTACCACCATCAGCTGCTGCTGTAGTACCGTCTGCTGCTGCTGTAGCACCGTCTGCTGCTGCTGTAGCACCGTCAGCTGCTGCTGCTGCTGCTGTAGTACCGTCTGCTGCTGCTGTAGCCCTGTCTCCCCTCAAGGGAGGTTCCTTGACGCTGGTGAGGGGCTCTTGATCTAGGGAATTGGATTTGTGCTCCGGTTCCCTGAATTGAGCCTGAATACCTTCTATCCCCCCCCCACATGCGCTGTATAATCCTACGGGTTTAGCGCTCCCCCATGATTATAATAATAATGTAGCCCTGTCAGCTGCTGCTGCTGTAGCACTGTCAGCTGCTGTTGTTGGTGTGGCTTATTGAGAATACCAAGAAACAACCCCAGAGGGTTAGCCACCCAGGATAACCCAGAAAAGTAAGTGTCATCGAAGACTGTCTAACTTATTTCCATTGGGGTCCTTAATCTTGTCTCCCAGGATGCAACCCACACCAGTTGACTAACACCCAGGTGAACAGGGAAAAATGCTTGGAACTAGTGCTCATATTGGTGAATTTAAAGCCAGCAAAGGTTGGTTTGAGAGATTTAAGAATCGTAGTGGCATACACAGTGTGATAAGGCCTGTTCTGGAAAAAAAATGCCAAACAGGACTACGTACTCAGGAGGGAAAAGGCACTCCCAAGGACACAGTGTCTCATCAGTCATTGCTGCATCTTCAATAAAGGTAAGTGTCATTTATTCTTCATTTAGTAGAGTAGTACATGCACAATATATATTGTGCATGTACTACTCTACTATTGTGCATGTATCCTTCTCTTTGTGTGTAGGAAAATGTATATTTCATGTGGTAAATTTTTTTTTTTCATACTTTTGGGTGTCTTGCACAGATTAATTTGATTTCCATTATTTCTTATGGGGAAAATTCATTCGCATAACGATAATTTCTCATAACAATGAGCTCTCAGGAACGGATTAATATCGTTATGCGGGGGTCCACTGTATATGTCTTACGAGGTACCGTGTTTGACGTATATATACTCATAAATTCTAGCGGCTTCAAATCAAGCAGGAGAAAGCTGGTAGGCCCACATGTGAGAGAATGGGTCTGTGTGGTCAGTGTGCACCATATAAAAAAAATCCTGGAGCACGCAGTGCATAATGAGAAAAAAAAAAACTCAACGTTTTTTTTAATTAAAATGCAGACTTTGTGGTCTATTTTCATATAGCATTTATGGTTGTATTCTCGTTTTCTTGGTCTCATTTGATAGAATGGAAAACATATTATAGAAATAGAGGTGATTTTGATTGATTTTACTATAAAAAGAACCTGGAAATGGAGCTCAAAGTACGGGAAATGTTTGATTTTTGCCAATGTTCAAAAGTAAACAAATGATGTCATTGTCCAAAAAATGTCCAACTAGCGATTCTAAAATTTTAGTCTGAAAGGGTTGATGTTATTTATACAATTTTACAGTAGTTTCTATTTTTTTTTGAATAAAAAACAAAAAAGAAGCAAGGGGGGAATATCAAGGGCCTGGAGACATGACTGATGAACAAAGAAAATGTTATTTTAGACCCGGAATGTCTGCATTGTTCATTCTGGACCTTTTTTTGAAATTGTATATCTTTTAATTTTTGTGAAATTGGCCAAATTTCACCTCTTCAAAGGGGGGTCCTTGGCGTGGTGAAGAGGGCCTTGGGTTTAGGGAAATTTGCCCTGCGGTCTTCTTTCCCCAGACCCAAACCCAATTACCCCCCATTCTCCCCCCCCCTACCCATCCTCCCCTCCCTCCCCCTTTTTCATTTCCCCCTCCTCCTCCTCACCCCTCCCTTTTCCCTTCTCTTTTTAGCCTTCGGATTTCTCCCCCGGGGCGTAGTTCCTAGGGAGGGGAAAGGAACGGGGTCTCCCATTCGTTGAGGTTTCTTGGCGGGGGCGTGTTTGCCGTGGAATTGGATTGCCTAGGGATGTCCCGATCCCTCCCCCGGGAACCCCCGGGGTATTTTGGGGGTCTTTTGGGCGACGGGGTATCTCTGGAAGCCACCTTTCGGATTCCGGGGTGGTGGCTAAGGAGGGGTCTTTTGTGGGGATTCCGGCCCCCCCTCTTTTTTTCCACGAGGAGCTCGGCAGATGTGAGGTTTTTATCCCGGATTGCTGGTTTTCTGGCATGAAGGGTAGGGATGGCACGGGTTCCATGCTGATCTGCGTTAGCGGTGTGAGTCC